CTGACCCCTCTGGCCTGCAGGCAGGGGGACCCCACCCACGGGCGAGTTGCACATCTGGGTGAAGGACGCTCAGAGCCTCATCCCGCTGCAGAGCGGCACCGTGGACGCCTTTGTGCAGTGGTAGGAGCGGGGCTGGCGCCTCGGGGGGCACCCAGAGGAGCTGGTGGCAGTGTCCCCTCACCCCCTGTGCCCCCCCCCCAGCTACGTGCTGCCGGATGACAGCAAGGCCAGCCGGCAGAAGACGCGGGTGGTGAAGCGGAGCCTGAACCCCCTCTTCAACCACACCATGGTCTACGACGGCTTCCAGGCCAAGGACTTGGCCGAGGCGTGCGCAGAGTTCACCCTCTGGCACCAGGAAGCCTTTTCCAAGCGCCTGCTGGGCGGCATCCGGCTCAGCCTGGGCACTGGTGAGGCCGGGGGGGGGGAGCCCCAGCTCCTCAGGGTGCCCTCCTGTGCCGTGGCTCGGGGGGTGACCGTGGTGGTCTCTCTGCAGGGAGCAGCTACGGGCTGCCTGTGGGCTGGATGGACTCGACGGTGGAGGAGCAGGGGGTGTGGAAGCGGCTGCTCCAGCAGCCCCAGCAGTGGGTGGAAGCTCTGCTGCCCCTGCGGACCAACCTGGCCCCCCGGGTGTAGCCCCCTGGCCCCACGAGGACCGCCTGGTGCCAGCGGGACTGTGGGACCTGGGGGGGATGGAGACCTGGAGCATCACTGTGCGGGGCTGGGGGTCTGTGCCCTCCCCTTCCAGCAGCAATGAAGTGGCACCAGAGGGCACATCTGGTGGCTGTTTATCGCTCTGGGCACCGTACCCTGACTGCTCCCTCCACTCCGGGGCTGGAGCTGCTGCACCCCACTGCTGCCAGCTGGGGCTGTCCCCTCTGCCGCTGTCCTGCAGCCCCGGGGCTCCAGTGGCCTTGTCACTCCCACACCAGGATGGCCCATTTCCTACTGGGAGACCCCACACTGGTTCCTCTCCCCTGCTCACTGGGAGGACTGGAATCATCTGGGCCCACCCACCAACACCACCCTGTGGGCAGGACACAGCCACATCCCCAGAGATTTGTGTTGCAGCCAAAATCTCCTGGGACAGCGCCCATTCCTGGGGCCCTGGCAGTGACAGGTGATGGGTGACAATGACACGGACAGCGGGAATTACAGGAAAATCCTTTATTAGTCTCTGTCCCACCCTGTGCCGTCTCAGGCTTTGCCCCAGAGTGGGTCTGGGGGCTCGGCCAGCAAAGGGCCCCCCTGCTGCCACCCATGGCCACGTGTCCTGTGACCCCTGGGGTGCCCCAGGTACCCTGGGTGCTTGGCAAGCACAGGGTGGGGGATCCCAAGGTGGGATTCAGGGCTGGATGGGCTCCCCCTGCCCACCTGCATCCCCCAGGGAGCAGCCAGAGGGTGCAAACCCCTGGAGCATCCCCAGGCACCGGCGCTGGGCACAGGGACAGGGTCAGGCCTGGGGGACGTGTCCCGCCCTGGTGTCCCCAGCTTTGCATAGTCGTGGTGTAGGGGGGCCCTGTGGCCTTGGGGGGTGACACCAGCAGCCTCTTCACCCCGGGGGGGGACAAGGACAGGGTCCCCCAACCAGCCTGGGGCATGTGGTGGCCTCAGATCCTGGTGCATTGAACAAAGAGCCGTGGCAGGAAGGGGCCTGGAGGGTTTTACCCTGGGGGGGTCCCCCCCGGGGAGTGGGGTGCAGGAGGGGAGTCCCACTGCCCACCCTGCTGCACCCATGCCATGGGGAAGGGTTGGACTGTCCTGGGAACCCCTGTAGGGCAGGGATGGGGGGTACCCCCTGCACCCCCACCCCGGCTACACCCCCCCCCACCCCGGGACACGACACAGACACCACCTCGCAGAGTTTAATGGGGGGCAGCCCGAGCTACAAGTGTCACCCCACAGCACACGACACGCACCCCCCTCCCCAAAACAACACACAGAAAGGAGGTGGGGGGAGAGGGACCCCCCCCAAGCACCCCCCAGAGCAACACAGAAGCACAGCAAAAGCACACAGCGAGGCCCTGGCTCCGCTCCTCCGGTGGGCACGGGGGGCTGGGGTGGGCAGGGGGGGGGGGGGTGTCAGGACAAGGGGGTGGGTGCTCCAGCCAAAACGCTGGAAACGAGGAGGGAAACGAGAGACCACCAGGAGAAGAGGGGACCCCCCCCCCCCACCCTAGTGAGCCCCAGAGTTTTGGAGAGGCAACGGGGCAGGGGCTGCCGAGGGTGGGGAGGGGGCTGCTGGGTGCTAACTGGGGCCAAACTGGGAGCCATGCAGCTCCTGTCCTGTGCAGGGCTGCACCCTGCCGTGATGGGACTGGGGGTGCTGGAGGCACCTTGCCCTGGTGGCAGAAGGGGCTGTACATCAGCTGCACCCCCCAAGGGGCTCTGTGCCTGCAAAGGGGGCGAGGGTGGACACCCCCTTCCCTTCCACCGCTAACAACTCACAGGAAAACAGCAAACCAGGTGGGAAACACCCGACATGCAAACCAGGGGAGAGGGTCCACGCCACCCTCCTCTCCCCGGGGAGGTGTGAGGGAAGGGCGAAGCTCCGGGGTTGCAGGGAGGGCACCCCCTCCCCACTGCCACCAGCACCCAGAACCTACTGGTTGTCCTCTCTGGCAGCGTGGAAGGAAAGAGAGATGGGGCACAGCCCCCCATGTTAGACACGATGAACCCCTTGAACATGGGAAGAGAGCAGGGACCCCCAACTGGCTCAGCCTCAGAGGGACAGATTTGGGGACCCCCCCACGCCCCACAGGGTTTAGAGCCAGGATCCAGTCAGACAGTGACACACAGAGGAGGTGGCAGGACAGCCAGACACCAGTGAGGGGACAGGTGGGGGGGGACAGTGAATCCTCCCCCCACCGGGTGAGGACAAAGAACCACAGGAGACAACACAGTGATGACACAGGACACGCACCGGGGTGACCCCGGGTTTGGCTTCAAGGGTGGGCTTGGCCTGGGTCCCCCCCGCTCCACCCCGGGTCCCAGGGAGGGTGTGGGAGCCTTACAGCGTTTGGTAGGTGCTGTCCTTCGACTTGATGAACTTGATGACAAAGAAGACGACGGCCTGGATGCTCAGCACCAGCACGATGCCGCCGATGAAACTGGCCGTGTCGAAGCCGGGCGGGTGGAACTCGGGGCTGCCCGTCAGCGGGGCACTAGTGGTGGTGGTCCCTGTTGGAAGGGGAAAACGGGGGGGTTTGGGGGGTTATGGGTGCTCTGGGTATCCCCTGAGCACTGATGATCCTGCCAAAGGAGGGGAATTTGGGGTCCACACAGCCCCCAGAGGCTGCACGGGGAGGGATGGTAATTCCCAGCTTGGGGTTGGATGTCCCCACTGACACGTGGATGTTGGGATGGGCTCAACCCCTTCCCACGCCGTAGCAGCTGGAGTTGCAGGAAAGGAGGCAGCAGGAAAAAGATCCCAGGGGGATCAATAATTCAGCGGGCTCTGGGCTCTGGTTACCTGCTGTAATTAGCCCAGTGCTCTCCAGTTCCCGCTTCCTGGAAGAGGTTCATTCTCTGCTCCCAGCCCCAGCTCTAGCCAGGCTGGAGGTGGCAATTCCCAGCAAGGATGGCATCAGGGATGGCTCCTGGGGGGCTGTGGAGTGCCACGACTCCCCCAGCTCCATCCAAGCCCTGTCCAGGGCAAAGAGGGGGGACGAGGACGGAGCTGCAATCCAGGACAGTGGTGGCACCTCCTGGGGCACAGTCCACTGATGTAACCCTGAGGCACATCCCTCCCAAAGGGATGTGAGATATGGAGGGAATTGTTTTATTGGGACTGGTCCCTGATCTCTGGGGCATCCAGGACCCCCATCCCACCACCTCCCACCCCCCAGACCCACTCACTTGTGGAGTGTGTCACTGGCTCCTTGCTGTGGGACTGTGGAGGCTCTTCCGTGGGGGACTTCAGAGCTGGAGAGGGTAAGGACAGAGGGAAGGGTGTGAGGTGACACTGCCACACACCCCCACCCCAGAGCCCTGTCCCAGGGTTGGGATTTCTTCCCCATGGCCCCAGCCCCCAGAGCAGCACCTCTGTCCTGAAGGCTGCTGGGCCTGGGGGGGCTGTGGGGTCTGGGGTTACCTCGGCACAGGGTGCTGCTGTTGTAGAGTGCACAGGTCTCCCGTGGTGCTGCCCCTCTCTGCACGCAGCTCCCTGTTTCTATGGGAAGAGGGAGCAGGGTTTTCCCAAGGATCCTAAGCCACCACCCCCTGCAGCCAACAGTGTTTGGGCCCTGGGCTGCCCTGAGCACCAGAGGGTTTGGGATGATGAGGACTCATTCCCAGGGTTGGGCATTCATCCATCCATCCAAGAGGCTGTGAGTTGGGATTCGTATCTGCACCCCCTCAGGGAAGAGCCCCAAACTGGGGGCTTTATGAACAGCTGGTTGTCTCCCATCTCCATCGCTCAGTGCTGCTCCATGTGCACATGGCAGAGGGTTCCCAGTATTATCCTGGCATGGCTGTGGGCAGCACATGCCAAAACCTACACCCCTGCCCACTGGACTGGCACAGATCCCCCCCTTCCCTCGGAACGGGCCAGCTGAGAAGGTTGGTGGGAGCCCCTGGCTGTCCCCCCACAGCTGAGCCCCTCACCTGGCTCCTCAGGGGTCCTGCAGCCCAGCCAGACGCAGCCGGTGGTGTTGTGTGAGGGGGTGACAGCCGTACATGTCTCACAGGACCTCAGCTCGCCACACTCTCCTGCCAAATCCAGGGAAAAGGGGTGAGGGCAGGGCCAGCATCTGTCCCCCCTGGCTCTGGGGTTGGGGTTGGACCCTCAGCTCCATGGAGGGGGAATTCTGACGATGCAGTGGGAGGGTGAAGGCACATCCCACAGCACCAAACCCACCCACAGACCCATCCCAGGGGAGGGTTTGCAGCGTCACCAGCTCTCCGGAGAGGGGACACCCTACAGCTCCCAACACCCACCTGGGACACACAGGGCTCACCCCATCGCCCACAGTGCAGGGAAACATCCTCCAGCCCAGGGGCTGGGATTTGGGATCCCGGGATCTTTTGGGGGATGTTTAAATGCAATGAGGGGGCTGCACAGCCTGGTCGGGGTTACCTGAGCAGCGTCACCCCCCCTTCCCCCGCAGACCACCCCGCAGGACACCCCTCTCTCATGGCCCCGGTGAGGGTGGTGAGTCACTCGGGTGTTTGTGGAGCTGCTCTTCCCCCACACACGCTCATCATTAATTTACAGCGATGACTGTCGGCGAGGGAGGCTGCGACTGACGAGCCGCGGCCGGGCCCTGCCTGCACCTCCCGCGTCCCACGCCCGCGTTTGCACCATCCCGCCAAAG